TTTTAACTCTATCGAATCATGGTTGTGGGACGCATTTGTATTTTAGTTGTTGATCTTTTGCGTTCAGTTGTTGCTTTTCCAGTAGTAGTTCCGGCATTTACGATGTTATACTTGTATAAACTCCAACGGTGGCTTAAGTGGTAATAAGAATTGTAAACCCAGAGATGTGAATTCGAATTTTAACAACTTCTTGGAGCTAGGTCACGAGAGATTTATTCTCATGAATACCTTAGTCCCAACATGAATGACATGCTTTTAACTGGAGGTGCGTGTAAATTAGCCTAAACACCTCTTGAACCAAAAAAATGTTATACCTGCATGCATGCAGAACTGATTAGAATGATTGTGAGTAATTTCCTCATTTCTAGATTGTCATGAATACTTTTTGGGGTATATTTTATCCAAACCTTTTAGTTAGGTCTAAATTTAATGACACTCTTTCTTGATTCTAAAATTTCATTGACACCTCTTGTTTGTTGTTGTGTGTTTACGGTGTTAACAGTGACTATCGTGTTATAGAAATACCCCTAGTATTTTATAGGATAAATTTAATCCACACCTCTTTTCTTATAAATAGGCCTAATTTCAACGACACCCCTCTTGATTATGAAATTTCATTGCACTTTTCTGTAGTTCTATTTTATTAACCTTCAGGTTCATCAATTTAAATTAATGTCCTTTCTTTAATTTAAACTAAATTAACATTTGATCTCATCAAATCAACATAAAATTGATATTTTATTTTTATGAAATTAACATTCAGTTACATTAATTTAATATTTCATTTTATCAAATTAATATTATTCTTTAATTTAATACTAAATTACTATTTAATTTCAGCAAATCAATACCAAATTGACATTCAATTGTATCAAATTAAAATTTAATTATATTAAATAGAATATTAAATTTCATTAATTTGACATTTAACCTTATTAAATTAATGTCATTTTTTTAATTTTATACCAAATTAACATTCAATTTCATCAAAGCAATATTTAAATTTATTTAATTAATGTTAAATTTTATAAAATTAATGCTAAATTAATATTTAATTTTATCAATTAATATTTAAATTTATCAAATTAAGACCAAATTTATTCAATTAACATTAAATTTATCAAATAATATTTAAATTTAACATGTAAAGGATGATGTGTGAAGAGTAGTTGGGTGATGTGTAAAGAGTAGTTGGGTAACGTTGTGGAGGATAAACGATAGCAAGGAGTTGGAAATGCGTGAGACTTTGACTTTGACTTTATCGATTGTAATTTTTATTGTAGAGAAAACATTAACTATAAAAATTATAAAAACTCGATTATATAACAAAATGAGTAATAATATGATGACTAATATTATTATACTAACAAAGTTATCATGCAACACTTTAAGATAATAACAATTCATTGGGATCAATTGAAAATGACTATAATTAACCTTATTTTTTTGGTAAAATGTGAAAACTAATTTTTTTTTAATTTTATTTTGATTGTATGCATTTTTGACCTTATTGTGTTGAATAATTTTATTTTGTGTCAAAAATAATTTTAATAGATATAAATATATCATCCTATTTAGCCAAAGAAAAAAAAAACTGTATAAAGTGCTCACTCAAGGCATTTTAGTCTATTAACATAACAAAGAGTAAGTTTGGCATTTTGAAAGAATATTTAGTCAAATCAAATCGTTCACTTTTTCTATTGTCAAAGATGGAAGTTACTGGTAAGGGGTACTAGTGATTCTATAGTACAAATGAAAAGGAGGTGCAGTAAAATTTCAAAATTGAAATGGGGTGTCAGTGTCATTAAATTTAGACCTAATTATGCGGGATGCGGATGAAATTTACCCTATTTTTTTTTGGGGGAGGGGGGTCATTTGGCCTGAATTCTTAGGCAACAATAATTTAAGGTGACTAAAAACTATATTGACGAAATTTTAATTGATTCTATGTATGTGGCTTCAAGAACAAATTTCGGGTCCAAGGCCCCTAAATCTCAACTAAAAAATGGCGGCACAATACAAGAGCTTTCTGCCATTGCGAGGATAGGGGAGGGTTTGATTTAGGTAGTCTTACCCCACATGTAGAGGGGCCCCTAATTCTATATTCTAAACAGGAAATTATATTTTTTCTATTGACTTATTTAATGAGGCTTGTGGAGCTCTGAACTCGAAATTCTTTTTAATTTTTTTTTTTTAGTATGTATATGTTTTTAAGATGGCTAAGCTCACTAATTAAGCTTTGCATTGTCATAATTTTTTTACCGGTTTTGCTTGGAGCATCCCATGATTTGTTATAATTTTAAGGTAAATTTCACTCCAACTCCTCAAGGGTGATCTCTTGAGCTGGCTAGGGTGTTAATTGAGTTTGCTCAAGCCCTGCTTGCCTATGAGTGGTCTTGCTCGGTTCAGTTGACATAAATGCTTGAGCTTTTTTTTTTGTTCAAGCTTAGCTTGTTGAGATTTCGAGCTTGACTTTTTAGCCAGAAAAATTCTAAAAATAAAATCATAGAATACTCATTTTCTCTTCAAAATCCCTACGAGTATACAAAATTTACCATAAAAACAAACGTACAAACCTAGATTTCCCCTAAAAATTGAAAAAAAAAAAACATTAATGGTGTTGTTGTTGATGATTTTGAGATGGTGGTGGTGATCTTGTTCAACTTCAACCTTGTGGAATGTCAAAACAATCACTATATCACGATTGCAAAACTTTTTATAGTTTCTTTTATGACCAATTCTAATTACTAGTATTATTGATTGGAGATAATTTGTGACAATATAAAGTAAAAATGGCAAGCTTGGGAGAAAATCTATAATAAGTTATTGCAATTTGACAATAGACCATGAATATATCAATGTTGGAGCTTGTAATTATGTAACTTATGTAAAAAGGCATCAACCACGTAGACTGAAAATTTATTGTCATGCAGTCGAATAAATATCTATTGTGTTCAAACTCAAACTAGCTGATATATTATTTGATAAACGATGAATTGCATTCTTTCTCTCAGAGATTATTGTAAGAGATCAATAAATTTGCTTTCTCACTTCAAATGACGATTTTAGTTTTTGTTATCATGCTTGATTGTCGATCATGGATGGTATGGTTTGAACCAATTCTTAACAAATTGTGGATAGTGGTTCTCTTAATGATTCTAATATAAATTTCTGCAACTTTTTTTTTCATTATTTACTTGTCCGAAATCTATGGGGCCTAATATAGCTCTGAGTAATCCTAAATACTTTTTTTATAGGCGTTCAATTTTTTTTTCTATATGTTTGTTGGTGGATTTTGCAACATTAGAAGAGGAATATTCCATGTCATCTTCATTTTTAGATTTACCATTCGAAAAAGATGTATTAACTAGTAGAGATTGTTGCATAAAAAACCTAGGACTCCAATGATATTTTAGAAGATCAAAGGGTGTCCTTTTATTTTAGTATAAAGTAATATACTAAAAGCTTGCGTTTTGTAGTGAAATTCAGTTTATTATTTAACAAAAGTTTTTCACTTTCTATTTCAATGAGAATCTGAGTAGGTAAAATATTTACATTATATTAAATATAGGATAATTCTATGTGAACCAAATTTGTGCACCGAAACTTACATCAAATCAACTACAGCCGTTGGATCACTGATTGGACCTATTGATCCAATGGCTGCAATTGATTTAGTTCAAGTTTTGGTGCACATATTATTGTTCTTAATTATATGGTATACATGTGTGTTTTTTATTTTATATTATAGATAATTTTGTGTGTAGAGTTCGACTTATACACAGAAGATCAGATTATCGGATCCTTGAATGATATGTGTAAATTTTTACAGTCTTAGATGGAATCAGACACACTATTATTAGGATTGTAGTACAATTTTTTGACATAGTCTATTTTGGGTATAGGAGACTGTATGATGTATCGGATTATTATATTAGTACAATTTGTGTATTTAATATGATCGTTATTGAGGTTATTATCTTTTTATTAACTAAATTAAAATATAAATACCTTATAATAATTGCGATTGTTTAAACTCTTAATTTTGAGATATTTAATTGATACATACATATAATGATTTTTATTTTAATTCATCGATTGAAATTCATATTTTGAGTCAAAAAACTCAGTGACTTAAGAGATGACATTATTTATATGGTGAAAATTAATTATTAAAGGAAATCACGTTCCAATATTTAAATGAATTGATGATGTCCTCTTGAGGAAACTTATAAGTTTTGTCCATGTCAAACTTTGCAGATGAACTTAATTATTCGACATAACAAATAATTTGAGTGCTAAGATCTTAAGGATAAAAAGAAGTCAATTAAATATAATTTTCAGTAATTTAAATAATTGATAGACATCTGTAATCTTAAATGTGAGGAGATTATTAAACATGTAATAATGAGTAGTTCGAAATATAATTTTTAGATAAGACTTGAGAGATCAATATTAAGTTTTTAGTGGACAAACTTATTATTAATAGATTATATAATATTTATTATAAGTTGGATATAAGATTTTTAGGCCCACTGGAAGCTCGACTCTTATTTCTCCTTAGGGTCGTTACTGTATCTTCTAAATAAACGCACTCCCTTATTCTCTCAGTCATAAACTCTATATTCACGTTTAGGAGAGAGAGAGAGAGAGAGAGCAAGGGATAAAATTCGGAGGTTTGCTACTCACACTGCATTCAGATTTTGGCGTCAAAGGATATACGGTAGAAGATCGTGAAGTGCTACGAGCCTATTGTTCAATCTGTATTTGTCTTCATTCGTGCGGATCTACTCGTCAAAAGTAAACCCTAATTTCGCCTTTTGGGTTAATATACGAATAAATTTTTGTAATCAATTATACAATTGTCAACGGATCTTGAGACTACTGTTCCAACAATAGCAAGGAGAAATTTGGGCAGAAACTTAATAGATCAGACTGTGTACAATGGTAATTAATAGTTAACCTTGGATAATTTGATCCTTATTGTCAACAATCTGTGTATGAGTCTGCCAAACATATAACTAGTTTGGTTTAGTTTTTCTGATTTTGAAAATTTAGATTATTCAACCTGACTTTTGTCCTCGAGTGTGAAGCTATTATACTATACGCGCCTAAAAATTACCTTTTGATTTCGTATTTGTTGACTGCTCTACAAGTCTCCTAAACTTTGGATTTTGTTTCTTGCGAAGATGTAGTGTACCTTAGTTATTTTATGTGGTTATAAACTTGCTGTAATGATCTTAAGAGTAGCCAGTAAATGAAAAAGTGAAGCAAGATCCATGTTTCTCTTCTTACAGGTGAGAGAAGGGGGATATGATTACAAGGTGAATGAAACTGTCAATGTTGTCTCTGCGAAAACAACGGAGATTGGACAGAAGACCTGGGGAATCATGAAGGGGGTCATGGCAATGGCTTCACAGAAAGTGGAGGAGTACACCAAAGAAGGTAACAGCTGGAACAATGATAGCTGGCAACAGAATGAGAGGAAGAGTGATGGTTTGTGCCAGGAGTTTGGACAGGAAGTCAAAGGATGGAATTCTACCAGAGGGCTGCCCGCATCTGGTCAGCATTTAAATTCTGTCAGCTCAGGCTCGTGGGATGATTGGGATAGTAAAGACAACTGGAAGGAACAATCAACAAAAGAAAAAACATCCCATAATGGGGACAGCTGGACAGGCTGGGATGATGCTAAAGATGATGGATACGACAATCTTTACCAGAGTGCATATGATTGCAAGGCAGCGGGTCACAATGGGAAATTGGATGCTAAGTGGACGGAGGGAGGCTTCCTGTGAGGTGAGGACATTATTCCCAACATTTTTTCCAAAACTTTCCCTCCGAAATTTGTTTTTTTTTTCTCTGTGTAATTTAGTTTGTGTTTGAAAATAGTTTATATATATCATCATTAACATGGCGGGTAAATTGCTCAACTAAAGAGGAGTGCTGTTTGTGTTCGTGAGAATCATTATTTGTTGTTTAAATTTTAGATTTCCTTTGTATTTGGAATAAATGTAGCATTATTGTTTTTGTTTATATTTTGATGACAGTACACATTCAGTCTCTGCTTAATCATCACCTGTTTCTGAGTTTTGTTCCGGTAGAATCAATTCACATTTTCACCAAAGGCTTTCTTGATCATCTATGATTTCTAGGAGGTGGTGTTTCTGAGGATTTAAGCTTTTAATTAGACAGCATTTCTTAGACATCCTAGTCCATTGAGATGATGCTTGTTATTTTAGAACACACAATAGGGCAGATAATCAATGTTGGAAAGTAAATAGTTGCTTAGAAAAAAGTGCAAATATTTGCATAAATTCCTTGAGATCCAGTCCTTATTTTGCAAGGGCTTTAGAATCAGGGATGGAATCCTCAGATTCAGATGAGCATAATATTTCATTTGAATATGTAAAAACCAACAAAGGACAAGTGACAGACTGGGGGGCAACTAGATTCTAGGAAGTATTAGAACTGAATTAGAGGGGGTGGTAGCAAGGTGAGGGGAGTTCTGAGTTGGGGGGAGGGGGTATTGTGGGGTAAAAAGGCTTCAGTTAAAGTGAACGGGACCAATGGGAGGAAGGATTTCAGGTAGGTAGGATGCAGTGGTGCCATGAGTTTTGGGTGATGGAGCCGTGGAGGCAGCTGGATGACGGATGAGGGTATTGTTGGATGGTTCCAAGATTTTGATGACAATGGCTCTTGTTTGCAGAGCATAAAGCAGACGTTGGGATGAATTTTTTGTTGGCAAAATTATCTGTATGACCTAGAAACTTGTGAATCATGTGAAGGCATTCCTTCACAAAATTTAGCTTTGGGCATAGAGCTTGTATTGAAACATGGATAAAACTTCCAGGATTTGATTATTGTAATTGGGACTTTGGCGATCAAGTAGATTGGTGGGTTATGGGTGTGACAATTTTTTTTTTTTTGGCATAATAAATGTAGTATATTTTATGGTAATATATAGAGTGGGAGGTGGTTTGTTGAGTTGAGTGTAGAGTGGGAGAAGCTGATGGACTATTTGAGTTTTGGCTTTCTAGAAGAGGGTTTTCCTTTTAGATAGCCCAGAACAGTATTATTTTTTTGTTCTGCACGCACAAGCTTCTAGCATTCTATCTAACCTCAGCTCCACCGTGAAGTCGAAAACAAGTATCTTACTTGAACTAATAGTCTTATTACGGGAGTAAAATTACCACAGGACGAAGAATTGTTATGCTATCACCCACAAGACTTGAACTGTGACCATCTTACATACTAGCTACATAAGTGCACTTCTACTTGATCTTATTTATATCACAGGCAGAGACTGTGGCGGCTCAGGCAGGACCTGAATCTGTCGATCTCTTGACCCCAACATACCAAATGCATCAAACAGAGGATTCATTTGCTTTCACAGCATCATCCTTGCATTGTACTATCTTTGACCCTGGAGCCTTGTCTGTTGATGGAGCTGAATCGTGTTGTTGGATCACAAGTACCGATCTCCCAAGGCCAGATTAGGCTAACAGATCTCCCAAGGGTCCCAACTCAGCATACTTAGCTTGGTGGTCTTTCAGTTCTGCTGCAATTGTTGCTGGGAATCGGCCATTCCCAACAATTAGGAGTTTGTATTCCCTCCTCAGCCCTAGTTGTAAAACCTCCCCTGTGATGTTTCTAGCCGTTTTGTATATAGTCATTCATGATGTTCTTAGCACGATTGAGTAGAGATGAGAATAGAAAGTGCACTGAACAGTTAGGTTTAGTTCAGTTCAAGCTAAAAGGTTCTTGGGAATATGATCTGGGGAAAGGGGTGATCACACAAAGTGAGGGTTGATTAATTATTGGGGGGTTTACAAAAAGTATTCTAGTGAGGCTGCTATGACTTATTGTTTCTGTCGATGGCGTTGTCTTCTATTTATAGTTATTCCTGGATCTAGCTTGATTGGAGGCGAGATGCTTGCCCCCCTACCGCAGAGTAGTACTAAGTTCATGAACTAGCTTTCTACACGCCTTCTTACTACACTAAAAAGGCCCAAGAGACAATGCCCTAACCAGAAGGGCGAGATCCTTGTAACGACCGCCTTTATTATGCAACGGCTGCGGTGGGTGTTGGGACAGTTACGAGGCTTGTGACTGCTGAGTAACTGTTGCTACAAAAGGGATACTTGGTGGAGTCCAGTTGTCCTCTGCACAACCTTTCTTGAGATACAAACACAGGGAGTTTGAGGTCTGAAGTTAAGGCCTGTATATAACATGAATGAGCTAGGCTCCCGACCTAAGTGAGCATGACCTACGTTACCGAGCTTAACCTTAGGCATATTCGTGATACTATCAGTTGCCCCCCAGTCCTAGGTCAGGCAGAGTTGTATGAGCTGGGACTGAGCTCTGCCTTAGGTGATTGGGGTTGCCCTGGACAGACCTCAAGATACGCACGATTGGACATGTTTCAACAGTTATGGCGAATGTACAATCATTTCCTTCTCGTTTCTTGTGCACATCCCTTACCTTACGAATCCATGTGTCTGTCCGTATACTTAACCTTAAATACATCATTAGACAACCGCCTCTTTCATTATTTCGAACCTTCTTCTTCTTCTTTCTCTGCAAAGTCTTCTCTTTTTCCTTTCCTCTCTTGCTCTCATCTTCCCTAATTCGCTGAAGATCTAGGGTTTTGTAGAAAAATTTCCAATTTTTCTCCGAAGGTTCTGCGAGGCTGGCCTAATTCATTCAGATTTTTCCATGGTTCCTAATTTGTCGATCGTTCCCAGTTAGGTACGTCCCTTGCTCTGCTCCTTCTTCTTCTTCTCTTTTAAGTTTTCTTTCATTCTGGATCCCTCGAATTCAATGTGGTTGTTTAATTTTTGGACTTTTCGCTTTTGTTACTTTAGGAATTGAGGTCGTTCCTTGTCTTTTCTTCTCTTCTTCTTAGACCCTTACTCTACTGCTAGAGTTTTTCTCTTGGGTCGCTGGTGTCTCGATCCTTGGGCTCTTAGGGATTGCTTTACTCGTGTTCTCCCCCTTTAGAGCTCTTTCAATCTTCCTTTTTCCTGTCCAGTCATGTTTGTTTCTTCCGAAGCTATTGGTTCGTTTGTTTCTCTTGGTATGAGTGACAGGTCTCTTGAACTAAAAGAGGACAACTTGGTGGATGTGGGTGTTGAAATAGACAATTTTTCCAGTGTTGATTCTGTTGACATTGGGAAAGAGGCAGAGTTCCCTAAGTCGATATCCCCTCCTGCTTCGAGGCTTAAGAAGTCTCAAAAAGGGAAATCCAAAGTGAGCGGTTTTGGCAGTGCTTGGGGCACAGGGGCCTCCCCAGAGCCTCAGACCTTGTGGGTTCAATAAACTTACCTTGCCTTTGCTGGGTGTTCTTTCAACCAAGTTTGGTTTTTCAATAGGTATGTAGTACTGGTCTTCTTATGTGCACATTCGACATGACTCCAAGGTCCCAAAGAAAGTTTGTTTCTTCGTGGCTTCGTTTGAGGTTTTCTTCAAGAAGAATGAGCTCGGTGTCCCCACGGTTCCCTTACTCGTGAAGTTCTTTAATATCAAGGTCACTCCCTATGATGGCTTCCTTTATATCGCTAAACTGGTGAAAATCTGAGTCATAATCATTGACCTCCCAAGCTCCCACAAGGGGTGGAAGAGGCTCTTCTTCTTCGTGTCTGGGAGAGAATGAGAGTATAATCATATAGATGCAGCTGATACATTCCCTATTCCTCGGGCTTGGTTGGCCCCTGATAATTTGGGTAAGTCTACTTGGGAGGTCTTGGGCTGGTCCCTCATCCTAGCATTTTCCTTTATTGACCTCATTTCTTTTATCATTTCAGGTATTCGCCCTGAGCTTAGTGTTGAAGATAGGATAGTTTTGTTGGGCTTAGAGGGCTGTGAACTAGAGAAGTATTTCCAGCTTTTCAAGCTTGCGATGCTCACTCAGTTTGGGTTTAGTTCCCCCAAAGTGAGGATTGAGACTCCTATATTGATATTTGTGGTCGGTGCTGAAGGTCCTGCCGATAATATTCTTCTCTTCCTTTATCCCTAGCTCTTTTTTTCTTTCCTTCTGTTTTCACTGACTTTGCTTATTTTGGCTTCTCAGGTTCCAACTCTATGGCTCCTTCTGCTGACGCTGTGAGGGCTAAGATTGCCAACCTCTGGAAGAGTAGAAGTGGGGGGAAGTGCAAGGCTGATGTCAAGTCTGGAAGCGAGCCTAAACCTCCATCGAAGGTGCAGAGGACAGAAGTGTCTTCACCTTCTCCTCCTTCCCAGGTGATCCTTTCAGCTCCACTGACCTTACAAAAGGTTGCATTGACCTCTACTTCTCAAGGGATCTTCTCTCTTCTCGTTGAGGGGTCCTCTAGATGTTCTGAGGCGTCAAACGTGTCGAGTTAAACGGTTACGTGTCAGGTTAAATGAGTGACGGGTGAAAAATATATAAATTCGTACATAACACATTTAATAAACGGGTGAAAAATCTTAATACGAACATAACCCGTTTAATAAATTGGTAACACGACACGAATCGTTTAACCCGTTTAATTTTTAAAAAAATTATATCAACAAATTTTAATACTCAATTTTTTTCACTGCCAATTGTATTTACCTCAAAAATGAAGAATTTCTAGTCAAATTTTATATAAAAATAAGACTTGAAGGTTAAAAAAAAAAGGCAAGATGCCATTGCCTTTTATAGGCAATGCAACCCTCCCCATCTCCCCTCATTTGTCGATGTGGGACAAAAACAAAAAATGTTGGTTTGCTTTTGTTATGAACTGCTCCTCATCTCTCCTCATTTGTTGAACTACTATTTTACTTTTTTTTTTCTGGCTAATTTTTAAAAATAATTATTAATTTATTATTATATTAATTTTATTTAAACGGGTAAACGTGTGATAAACGATTTGACAAGTCTTACCCGAACACGACTCGTTTATTAAACGTGTCTGACGGGTCAACTCGTTTACCACCCAAACCCGTTAAGATCTCACTCAAATCCGTTTAATTCATGTCGATTCGTGTTGTGTCGGAATTTGACAAGCCTAACTAAGACTAGCTTCTTGATTTTCGGGTATCTCTCCTCCACCCCCCTTTAGAGCTCTGTTACAATACTAAACCGGTACGCTAGCTCTATCTTGCTCTCTGACCAGTGTTGCGCTAATTGAAAAATTCGAAACAGCGAGGTATAGGGTGAGCACTTCTCCTTCCTTGGGGCTCACCAAGATTGGGAGTGAGTTAAGGTAGTCTTTGAGGGCTTTGAATGCTTACTCGTAGCGCGTATCCCACTAGAACGCCTTTTTTAAGGTTTGAAAAAAAGGCTGACACTTGTTACTTGACCTGAAAACAAAGCGATTTAAAGATGCTATCTTTCTTACTAGGCATTGGACTTCCCTTGTGTTTGAAGGTAGTTGCATGTCTATCACTGCCCTGACCTTCTCTGGGTTCGTCTTTATTCCTATGCTGTTGACTATGAAGTCCAGGAACTTCCTAGCGGATATTCTAAAGGCGTATTTGACTAGGTTGAGCTTCATCTAGTACTCTTTGAGGATTTGGAAAGACTCTTCAAGGTGCCCAATATGGAGCTCAGCTTTCAATGACTTCACCAACATATCATCGATGTACACCTCCATTAATGTTCCAATCTGTTTTTGGAACATTTGGTTTACCAAACGCTAGTACGTAGCTCCAGCTCATGACCTAGTAGCAGTATGTCCCCTCCTCAGTCATGAATGATATCTTCTCTTGGTTGTTGGGGTCTATTATGATTTGATTATACCCAAAAAAAGCATCCATAAAGTTGAGGAGCTCATGCCCAACTATGGCATCTACGATCAGGTCAATCCGAAGTAAGGGAAAGCTGTCCTTGGGGCAAGCGCAGTTTAGGTCAATGAAGTCGATGCAGAGGCGTCATTTGCTATTTGACTTCGTAACGAAGACCACATTGGTTAACCAAGTCGGATAGTCCACCTCTCTGATGACTTTGGCGTGGAGAAGTTTGTTGACCTCCTCGTTGATCATTTTCTGGCATTTTGGGGAAAAACTCTTACGATTCTATTTGATGGGCTTGAAGGTTGGATTTACACTGAGCTTGTGCATGATGACTGAGGGGTCAATCTGCTGCATATCCTCTTGTTTCCATGCAAACACCTCCATATTCTTTATGAGGAATTGAATAAGGAGACCTTTAACCTTCTTGGGCAGTTTCGATCTCACATATACCAGATGCTCTGACTCCTTGTCAAGTTGGATAGGCTCCAGCTCTACTAAAGTCATTGGCCTCATTTCTAGCTCATCTCTTATGTCAAGCTTATCCAGTTGGATATTCTCAATCTCTTTTTTTTTTTTCATAAATGCCATATAGCACTCTCGTGCCACACGCTGGTCTCCTCGGACCACTCCAACTTTATTTTCTGTGGTGAACTTCATGACGAGGTGGTAGACAAAAAAAATGGCCCTCATGGCATTAAGGGAAGTCTTCCCAGCCGAACATTGTATGCTGAGGGAGTCTCGACTACCAAGAACCTCACAGT